TAAACACAGACGCCCAACACCACTACAGACCACAGAGCCTGTTTTAGGACGATTAAGGTGCACTTAACTCACATACCTGGTAGGCCAGGCCTGGTGGCTCACACCTGTATTCCTACCACTTCAGGAGGCCAAGGCAGGACCCATCACTACATTTTTTTAAAAAGGTAGGCTTAACTCACATCTTTGGCAAAACAACTTTGATAGCGGAAAATAAAAGAATGTAGAATCTGCAGCTGAATAATGATTTTTGTTTCCACAGAACATACACACTCAAAACAATTCACTCCTCTCGGGGAAGCCTCTCTTATTTAACCCTCTCAGTGCCAGCATGTACCCTGCTGTGGGATCACTGCTAAAAAAAAAAAAAAAGATCTCTTTTCTATCACATACATCTCAGGAACCTCAGAATTCAATTTTACTCTTTAAATATTTTTAAAGCTGAAAGATTTATTTTCACTTAATAAAAGAAAGCCAGTCCCAAAGTCAAGAGTTCATCCAGTGTCAAAGCCACTGTCCTTCCTTTTTCTGCATTTCTCTCCCCGTTTCCTTCCTACAGCTCATCTGAGTCTGAATAATGTTCTTAAATAAGTCTTTTCACTCTTTCCCCACAAATCCCTCTTATCATTTCATCTGCAACAAAACCTCTGTGGGCACAGGTGTAGTTGGTGCCCCTTTCGTGACACAAGTCCTCCCTGCTGGAATCCAGGCCAGCTCAGGTCACCATGTCCCACCACAGCTGGCTTCCCAGGGCCACTGACCATGAGGTTTACCTTCAACCAGGACCCTGCAACAGAGCCATATGGTTTCCCGATCCACCTCAATTCCAACGACAAAGCATCCCAACCCCTCAGCCAAATCCCAGACAGAACTGAACAATCCACCTCATCTGTTCGGCCAAGGCCCTACGGCAGGCCCTGAATTGATGGGTCCTGAGCAAATCCACATGCAGCTCCATGGCCCGGCCCGCCCCACCCACCCACCCTGAAGTTTCCACCATCAGACACCCAACCCCATTCTTCACTGCCACTGACATCATTCTTTCTGAGCACCTTAATTCACAAAGCACTGCTTTCCCTTTCCAGCTGTTAACTGCAGTTAAACAATTTTTGTGTAATTTTGTATAATTCTTTTTTAAATTCTTTTATATATTTTTTTTAATGAGAGGCTCTCACTCTGTTGCCAGGCTGGAGTGCAGTGGTGTGATCACAGTTCACTGCAGCCTCGAACTCCTGGGTTCAAGTGATCCACCCGCCTCGGCCTCCAGAGCAGCTGGGTCTACTGGCACGCACTGGCAATCCCGGCTAATTTTTTAAAATTTGTTGTGGAGATGGGGGTCACTACGTTGCCCAGCCTGGTCTCAAACTCTTGGCGCAAACAATCTGCCTGCCTCAGCCTCCCGAGCACCTTCAACTACAAGAGCACGCCACCACACCCCACTAATTTTTTGTAGAGATGAGGGTCACTGTGTTGCCCAGGCTGGTCTCAAACTCATGGCCCCAAGCGATCCTCCTGCCTCAGCCTCCCAAAGCACTGGAATTACAGGCAGGAGCCACTGTACCCTGCCCAGTTCTTTAAGTATCTTCCTCACCTGCCTTGCAGTCTTGTTAACAGCAGTAAGCCCAGTGCCTGGCACAAGACAGGCACTAAATGTCTGGTGAATGGAGAGTAAATGACAAGCAAAGCCTCCCCGTTAACCTTAAAATAGCCCCTTGTCCATGCACCATGACTAAATGGCAATCTAAGCCAGCTTGCCAAATAATCTTATTTCTTTCACTGATGGGGGTACTGGCATAAGTGATAGGAGATAGGTAAGCCTGTCCAGTCCTCTTCAGCATGTTCCCTAAGTATTTATTGTGAGGGAACGGTCAGATGGATTAGGCTCAGTCCTTCTTGAACTAGAAAGGAAAAGGGGAGAAAAATGGTTTGCTTCAAGAAGGAAAAGCAAAAATAGGCCATCATTAGACAAGGGAACTATACAAGGAAATGCAGTAAGATCTCATAAGGTCATCCCAAGGCCACACTCAACCCCATGATGCACACGGAAGACATCCACTCCACAGCAGCTTTCCCACCCCCGAGTGTGCCTCGCAGCATGCTGGCACCCACAGCCACCTTCTCTAGGCTGAAAGAAGAGCAACGACTCCCCCAGATAGCCGGGGACTTCTACAAATGCTCAAAATCTAGATCTCAGGTACCCAAACTCCCCAACTCATTTTCTCAAAACACCTGCACACAGAATTCTGGAGGGAGGGGGCAGAAGTAAGTTAGAAATAGCATTAAGCCATATCCCTCATCTACTATGTTCCCTCTTTCCATCAGGAGAGAAGTCTTCTACCCCTCCACCATGCCCAAAGAAAATCAGTAAAAATCTTTTCCACCTTTACTTGTGACATTTTAAACAATTAAGAGTCAAAGGAATGAATCAATGATGCCCCGTCCTCCCACATCAGAACATGATTTCTCATGTCAATTTCTCAGAAGCACAAACCAAGTCCACTTTTAACCATCCAAGGAATGGTATCTCCAGTCCCCTGGGGTAGGAGGTTGTGACATTTCTTATTGGACTTTTGTTTGACTTTTGCACGTAGAAAGGCATCATGACTCCTGAAGAAATGCCGATCCTTAGAGAGGACTGCGTGTATGACTCATTCACTCACAGGCCACTACTACACTACTACACTCCCTTAATTTGAGTGCAAATTAAGGAGCCCCAAGTGTTAGGAAGTGCAACAAATATGCACCTGAGTGTACATAACCCACAACTTCCTTCCTGTAAACTCTTCTAACTTCAAAAAGTATTGCATCATCCTAAGATCAACCTACTTCTAAACGGTTGTCTCAAGTCCTCTTTTTGTTTTGCATATTAGAGAATTCAAAAGTCCAAAAATGTTACAAGGGGAAAATAAAAGTATGTAATGACAGAAGCGTCCTGTGTCCAAATCTGTGGCTTAATAACGATTTTTTTTAAAAGAACATACGCACTCAACACAACTCACGACTCTCAGGGAAACCCTTCTTTTACTTTCTCAGTGTGAGGTCTTTAAGAAGCCAGCATGCATCCAGTTGTACAATCACAGCTATTCCCTGTTCCATAAACAAGAATTCCTTTCCATCACATATGTCTCATGAATCTCAACACAGTTTTACTTTTTAAATATTTTTAATGAAAGACTTAAATATTTAAATGAAAGATTTCATTTAAAGACAAAAAAGTCAATCCCAAATGACTCCTAAATTCAAAAATAGAGTCCATAAAACTTTTTTGTCAGCCCATTCTTCCAAATAAAGTGGAAATTTACATTGTCTTCCTGTATCTTTCTTCTCGCTTCTGTACAGGTGGTTATGTGCAAGTCTGTAAGAAAATGTATTTCCAAACAACTTGTCCGTATTAATCTTGGATGTAAGTGGTATACCAACATTGCAGAATTATCATGATTCAATGTATTTTAGGCTGATGTGGCTGGCCAGTAATGCTCTAATTTACCCACCCTCTCTCTCTCCCTCTCTCTTTCTCTTTCCCTCCGTCTTTCTCTAACACACACACACACACACACACACACACACACACACAGTGGCTGCCAAGTGATAAATTAAGCAAAGATGCTTTCATCTTTAGAGTGTGTTTGGGTGGTGAGCTCATGAGTGATTTTTTTCTATATTTTTTCTATTAATTAACATATAAAATTTTCTAATGAAAAGTTTTAAGACAGAAACTACCAGCGCTAAGACACCTTCTCTGGACAGGCGGCCCAAACACTCTTTCAACTAAAAGCTATTTAGAATTTCCAAAGTGATGTTAGGAAAACGTGGCTGGAGGAGAAAACCGATGTACTTGATAGCAAGAAATCTCAAGTTTAAGAATGTGAAGTCGAACAGGCCTCGTTTCCTTTTTCTTTACGTCCTCTCAAAATCGCACCCATACTATCAAGTAACTCTGCTCCGCTGTCACTGAGGAAAATCTTTGGGAGGAAGGAAGGGGAGGCTTGGTACCTCGCAGCAGAGAATGAGATCTGCAATTCACCCTCTCAAACGTAATTCCTCTTGCAGATCTCACAAGCGGTGGACACCATCCCCTACACAACACTAACACTTGGCCATACGCATCGGTGCCACCTCCAAGTTCCTAAAGATGCCTGGAGGGAATTATGGGAACGCAATTTTAGGACCCCTCGTGTGTGTCACACCACCCCCTATGCTGGGTTCACTGGAACAGTGGAGAAAGAGAAGAGGCAAAAGGGGAAAAGTTACTTGCGGACTGGAGTCAGTGTCACGGCCACCTTCGGATCAGGGTATACCCCGCACGGCCCCGGCTTTGTCTGCCTGGCGGGGGCTGGCGTCGGGGCGCGACCCGGTCCACGCCGGGCGGCGCGGGGCGAGGGGTGCCGAGGGGCGAGGGGCGCCGAGGGCGGGCATCTGGCGCACCTAGCCGGGCAGCGCACCCCGCGGCCGCGCGGAGGAGGCAACAATGAGCCTGCCGGCAGCCGGGCCCCTTCCCCGCAGCGGCCCCCGCCTCCCCGGCGCCCCTCGCCCGTCCCCGCCGCCCGCCGGCCCTGCGCCCAGGCACCTCCCGGGCGCCACGCGGGGTGACCCGCGGTCCTCGCACGTCCCCCGCCCTCCGGCACACGGGGACCCCAGCCCGCCCGGCCGCCTGCCGAGAGGGTCCCCGGGGCCCGGGTCGGGCCGGGGCGCCGCCCGCCTCCCGGCGCCCCTCTTCTTTGTGTGCAAAGTAAGTGCGGGAGGCGGTGAACCTACCTCAGCGCGCACAAAGGCGCGCGGCTCCCTCCCGGCTCGCTCCGGGCGCCCGCGGCGGCGCCCAGAGACCCGACTGCTTGGCGGCGGCCCGAGGCGGCGCGAGGGCGGCTCAAGCTGCGGCGGCGGCGGCTCAGCCCTCAAGCCCGTCCGGCTCTGGGCGGCTCTTGCTCCCCGCGGCTCGGTGCGTCCGAATTAAGTGGAGGGGCGGGGCGTGGGGGAGGGGCGGGGACATCTAGGCCACGCCCCAGGCACGCCCCTCCCCCGCCTTCCTGCTCCGACTCGCGCGCGCCTGGCGGCGACCGCCAGCCGTCGGGCATCCGGGCCGGGAGGGGCGCCTGCCAGGCTCCAGCGCTCGCTCGGCCTTGGGGACGCGGGGCAGCGAGAGCTGGAGGGGAAGCGCGGCGGCCCAGGACGACTGCGAAAGAGAGAAGGAGGCCGCGCTGGTCACAGCCACAAAGCGCCGGCGCGCTCTCTGCCCTCTCTCTTCTCACTGCCTCGTTCCCTCGCTCTCTCTCCCTCCCTCACCTCCCTCTCTCTCACATTCTCCCTTCTTATCTCCTTCTCTCTCCCTTAATCTCTTTCTCTCTCGTTCTCTCTCTCTCCCATTCTTTTTCACTCCCTCATTCTCTCATTTTCTTTCATTCTTTCTCTCTCTGTCCGCCTCCCCCCTCGCCCGCCATTCTCTCACACACACAAGTACCCAAGAGCGTCTGGCTCCTGGGTGTCCCGGCTCCTGTCCCCCGCAAGCCTGCGCTGCTCAGAGGCCGTCGCCAGAGAAATCCTGTCGATTCCTCTTGGAAGAAAGCGCAGACAGAATCAGGGAGGAAAAGGAGACATTTGCTATAATTGCACAATTTATAGTCAAGCAGGGCCCAAAACCCACTGACCTGGGGATTCACCCATTTTCCTCCCCTCCCTTCATCAAAGGGTAATTGGAGATTTAAATATGCAAAAAAAGAAAGGGCTTATTCTGCCTCTCCTTTGCCCTCTGATCTCCGTTTCTTCAGCTCTCTTCCAAGAGCTTCTCTGGCCAGCCCTAAGTATCTGAGATTACCATCTACTTGAATCACAGCAGGTACAAAACTAGGGACTCCGGCAGTGTCTGTTTCAGTGTAGCCAAAAGGACAACAGGTTCGTGGATTTTAGATGAGAAGTTTTTTAATTGTCTTGGCAACAGATGACTAAGGGCTTATTTACTGGGAAATTTTTCTGACTAAGACAGTTTGGGTCATAGTCACACAGAAAAGTTACATCAGTTAAGGATTTTGGTAAACAAATGACTTATTCTGAAGATATCTATCACATGCCATGCTCTAAGCCATAGCCCCCCAGCCGTGTAAGGGCCTGGCCAATCCCTGGGTCCCTGGAGCCCACTGTGGGGTGGAATCACAGCCAGAGAACTTTAAGAAGATCCTTCCCAGCTGAGCGTGGTGGCTCACGCCTGTAATCCCAGCGCTTTGGGAGGCTGAGGCGGGCGGATCACGCGGTCAAGAGATTGAGACCATCCTGGCCAACATGGTGAAACCCTGTCTCCACTAAAAATTAGCTGGGCCTGGTGGCGCAAGCCTGCATTCCCAGCTACTCAGGAGGCTGAGTCAGGAGAATTGCTTGAACCCAAGAGGCAGAGGTTTCAGTGAGCCAAGAAGGCATCACGGCTCTCCAGCCTGGGTGACAGAGTGAGACTCTGTCTCCAAAAAAGAAAAAAAAAGCTCCTTCCCAGCTCAGGAAGCTGAACTGCATGAACTTTAAGCATGGTGTTTCCTGTGGTTCCTGTCCTTGAGTTGTGTTTCTGTTCTTGACAATGGCAACACCAGTCACCAAACCAGAACCTAGGATCCAGCCTAAACTGTCTCCCTCCCTCCCCACATTCGCACCAACTCCAACACCCATGCAATATGCACAATTCCTGGCTACGTCACTCCCCTCCGCTGGCATTGCCACTTTTGCCTTTGGGCTCTGTTACAACATGGTGGCAGGGGTTTCCTAAGTGGCCCAGTCTCTGATCTAACACGTGCTTTTCCTCTCAACTCCAGGTGCCAGTTGCTCAGTTTCCTCCTCTACTTGAAACACATCAATGGATGCCTGCTTCCTGCTACATGACCAAGTCCAAGCTCCCCCGCAAACACTCAAGACTCTGCTCAGCCAGACTGCCGTATTTGCTAAGTGGCCCTGCTCTCTGTGATGAAGACTGGGTGGAGTAATGAACACAGGGCCTTGTTTTGCTCTGCCATGGCTTCCCCTCTGCCTACCAGACCTTCACCAATCCCCAAGAGCTCCTCTCCTCTCTGAGAATCAGCCTTCTCTGGAAAGCCTTTCCTGACCTGCTCACACGAAATAGATCTTTTCTGCTCCTCCCATACCTGGCATGGCATTGTCATAATTGTACTATATCATAAATATGTGCCTCTGTGAGCCCAGAGTTTGTGCTTAACATATATGCATATCTTTATATCCACTTGCCTAATGTAATGTCTGGCATATGAGAAGTGTTATGGACTAAACTGTGTACCATGTACCCCCATAATTCATATGTTGAAGCCCTAACCCCAAATATGACTATATTTGGAGACAGGACCTATAGGGAGGTGATTAAGGTTAAATGAGGTCATAGTGTGTGACCTAAACTCATAGGTCTGGTGGCCTTATATAAAGAGGAAGAGACACCAAATACCTCCTTTCTTGTCTCTCCCTCTCTCCTTCCCCACTGTCCCTTTCCCCACTTGCCCTTTCTCTGCCCAAACACAGAGAAGAGGCCACATGAAGACACAATGACAACTACAAGCCAGAAAGAGAGGCCTCACCAGAAACCAACCCTGCTGCCTTCTTGATCTTGGACTTCCAGCCTTCAGAACTATGGGAAAATGAAACATCTTGTTTAAGCCATTCAGTCAGGGGTATTGTTATGGCAGCTCCATCAGATGAATACGAGAAGCATGCATTGGATTCTAGATTCTAACCTTTGTAAACCCCAACTCAACAGTGAGCCCGACTTCTCCATACAAAGTAGCCTGGACGATCATCTGTGATACAAGGCCATGTGCAGAGTGTCTCAATGTGAGAAGTGACCACGGTCATTTACCTCCCCCATGAGAGAAATGGAAACAAAGGCTCGTTACATACTCTGGGGTATAAATGCCTACAGGCTCAAAGTCACAATGCTACCTTTTGCACCAGGTACCATAATTTTTAAACAAAAACAAGTAAAGAGCAAATATTTACTTTGAATTTATTAATTCAAACAAAAGACAGGAGGCCAGTACCAATATATTAAAGCTGCTGTTTTGGGCTGAATATTTCATATCCCTAGGGAATCTTAGTGGGATTCTAATACAGGTAAGATCAAGTACCCAACTTGGTTTGGGACGCCTGGAGCCACTGCGGGTGGATCCCAGGAAATAAGACCTTGCAGGTTATGAGCTATGGTGATATTTCCGTTTGTATCCACACCATCCACTGCAGTGTCTGCAACATGGCACACTGTGTGTGATAGATGTTTGTTGAATGAATAAGCCTGGTACTTCCCAGGTTACACCAGGCAACACCAGACCTTTAGCACGAGTCTGATATACTGTAGATTTTACATTCTGAATGCAGACAGGTCTCTGGAAAAAGTCAGGGGAACTAGTGGCCTACATAGCCTGCTGGGCTGTATTTAAGATTTTGTTCGGGGCTGACACAGTGTCTCAGGTGGCTTAGAGGGTCTTTACTGATTTACTTTCAATACAAATACTGATTCCCTTACAATACAAAGGGAACACTCCTCTGAATGGTTTCTGAGTCATTTGGCCCATCACTGGTGATAGATTCTCTGATCTCGCATTACTGGAAAACATACATAATAATTTCCCGTTTCACAGCAGCAACCTACAGGGTCACCCATACACTCTGCTATGACCTCATCCTTTTGCTTCAACATCTGAGGACCTCGGAAATTCAGCCCTAAGGAAAACTGAAGAAAGCAGAAATGAATATTTGGGGATATAAAATGGTACAAAGCAAATCAACTTGGAATAAGACGTGTTGCTTTTATATCTTCTCCTTTCGTCATTCTCCTCATGCATAATCTTAAAATTGTTACTTTACACCCTAACCGCCAGGCTGAAGAGCTCCAGAGAGATGAGAAAAACTTAATACCCTAGAGGAGGGAAATGAGTTTTGATATGTACACCCTTTTGTATCTTAAGTTTTGCACTGTGCACATGGACATTCGAATTGTCATTCCATTCAAAAAGAAATAAAATATTGATTTTAAAATCCTATTTTTAAGCCATGCCCTCTGATTCTGGGTCAATTATTGATTGCTGTGTAACACGTCACCTCAAAACTTTAGTGGCTTAAAATAAGAATACACGATTTGCTCGCAATACTGTGGGTTGGCAATTTGGACATACTCAGCTGGGAAATCTTATTTCTGCCCCATGTGGTATTAGCTTGGCTCCGTCACGCGTTTCCAGTCAACTGGGAGGTTGGCCAGGAGCTGGCTTGTCCTGGGTGGCCTCAAAGTCCAAAAGTTGACTGCAGCCGTCAGCTCAGGCATCTCAGATCCCTTTCCATGGCCTCTCAGCGGGCTAGCTGGGACTTCCTCACAGAGCAGCCCTGTCCAGGAGGGCGAAAGAGGAAGTGGTCAGGCCCCTGGAGCTCTGGCCTTGCAGGTATAGCAGAATGATAGAATTCCGCTGCACTCTGTCATTAAAAATGTCACAAAGTCAGCCCAAATCCAAGGTTTGGGGAAACAGACCCCCATTGATGACAGAAGCAGTAGTCATATTGCAACAGGGCCTGCGTGCAGTAGTAGGAGAGGAAGGATTCTTGTGGCCATCCTTGCAAATAATCTTCCTCTGAAGAACTACAGACGTGAAGAACTACAGAATGGAGGGTAAAGTAACAGGTGCTAACAATAGTCTCAAGGGAAATCTTTCTGATGATAAGACAAAAGCACTTTGTCATTCAACATAAGACCCACAAGAACAGGTACTGGCCTCCTGTCCTCAATGGACAGGTCAAAGAAAGAGTTAATTTCTGCTTATTTGTTTTTGGTTTAAAAAAGAAAAAGATGGGGGCAAGGAAAAACAAAGGCTTTGGGACTCTAATGCAAGTAAGGTTGGCTGGGTTCTAAATCAGTGTTTTCGATTACCTACTGCTGCATAACATCTTACCATAGACTTCGTGGCTTATAATACCCATATACTGGTGCATCTTTCGTTCTTAATCCAGAAATGGCATGGCTCGGGTCTCTACTGAAGGCCTCCCAAAGCCAAAATGAAGATCTTGGCAGGGCTCATCGTTCATCTCGTCTGGAGCTCAAGGTCCTCTTCTAAGGTCATTCAGATTGCTGGCGGAATTCAGTTCTTTGTGGTTATAGGACTGAGGACCCGGTTTTTTTGCTGGCTGTCATCTGGGAGCCACTCTCCACTGACAAAGGCTGCCCAGAAACCTCATCCTGTGGCCTTCGCCATCTTCCAGTCGGCAGTGTCTCAACAAATCCTTCTATGCTTCCAATCTCTGACTCAACCGTCTTGGGTTCTAGACTCAGATTTAAAGTGCTCATGTGATTAGATCAGGCATACCCAGATCATCTTTCTATCTTGATAGGCAACTGACTTGAGACCTTCCTCACACCTGCAATCCCCAGATTAGTGTATGATTGAATAACGGGAGATGTGTATACACCAGGGGCCAGGAATTGTGGAGGCTATCTGAGAATTCTACGATAGATGTAAGGATAGGCAGACAGAGGCTCTTCAATATAAACATGGAATGTGAGAGTGGACAGAAGGTAGAAGCCTTGGAGAGGAATCGGATGCAGCGCTTAGCAGTAAACCAGGAACCAGGCCTAAGAAGGAATTCTTACTGAGCAATAACTCAGCTGCCACGGGGTTAAATGGTTACTAAGTCTTCATTGAACCCTGATGACCTGAATACTGAAAAAAACAGGGAGAGGAAAACAAAGTGAAGAATATGGCATCCTAATCCTATCACTTAAACAGCATAATCCTGTGAATACAATAGTATTTCCTTTATTTTGCACGATTTGTTTCATAACATTAACGCAATGTTCCATAACCCAGCAAGATAATGCTTTTCAATAAGGAGACTTAAGAACTCATTTGCGGAAACATTTTGTGAAAAGCTGTGTGGTCTGCCAAGCAAATACAGCACGTGAGTACCGTTTTTAATTAATAGTATTTAGCAAGGATCAAAATGATATGCCCAAATCTGAAAGAATGTGCTAGACACCAGATGATAAGCTGTTTCATTAAAAGAGCCTCCATGCATGAGCATTTGTGAGCAGAGGAATGAAATTACTTCATTAAATATGCTAACAGCACCAATAGTAAAGATGAATATTGTCCCCTGCGGTAGTTACCCGCTACAAAAGCATTTTGCAATCTCCAAAACAGAGCTGTATTTCACAACGTAACTGAGTACTTTGCCAATTCTAGAGAGTTTAAAAATTCAGGAGAGTTTTAATTTCCAAACATTTAATACATGTATTGATTGCCTAAAATACTTAATTTCATTTTTAAAGAACACTTGCTTTTCATTCTTCACAATTTTAAAATCAAAGGGACTCTGTGAAATGCTGGCTCTAATTTGTAACTGAACATCACTAAGAATCAGGAGAAACAGCTGTCACTCACATAAACAACTACTGAATATGCAAAGATCTGCATTGGATGTCTTTTTTTTTTTTCTTTACATGAATCCAAAACCAGAAAAAAGGATTTCCTGAGCGTCTTCCTGTGTATTAAAACTAAAATCTCTAAAAAGTTAAGAGAGGGGGAAAAATCCTTAAGTGCTCATCCTGTCAAAAATATTAAGATACCTTAATGATTAGTGAGTAAATAAATCACCTCCGCATTTAAGCAATATAAAGGTAATTCCTGTAAATTTTCTAATTCAACTAACACATCATACAAATGGCCAAATTTCTGTGAACATTCTATAATTTGCTCCAACTTCTTCTTCTTCTTTCTGATATTCACTCTAGATACACACATTTCCATCAGCAGGAAGTATCCTTTGGAATGCTTCTATTAGTAATTACTAGTTGAATGCCAGTTATACGTATATTCACCTAACTTCCATTAACTGTAATAAAACAAGTTCATGGAAGAATGGAAGGGAGGCTAGGCTAGGACTAAATAGACCTTCCTGGTGACCTTGGATAAGAAACTTATCCAAAGCTTCAGTTTCCTCTGGATTTAACAGTAAATGAATTCGCAGTTATTTCTATAATCCAGAAATGCCATGGCTGGATTCTCTGCTCAAGGCCTCCCAAAACCAAAATCAAGATTGAGGCAGGGCTCTGAGTGCATCTCGTCTGGAGCTCAAGGTCCTCTCCTACGCTCATCCATTTATAAATAGATATAAAAATATAGATGTATATATTTTTCCTTGCTAGTTATTAGTTGGGAGTCATTCTCAGTCCCTAAATACATGTATTTATATATTTATAATCTCATACATATAAAACATTTATATGTGTGTATATGTATACGTGTGTGAGTAAAAATATACATATAAGTGTTTTATATATAAGTCCTTATACATATAAAAAGTTCAGCTTTAGTTGTGTTGCTGCCCAAATTCGGCTTACATGGGGGCTGTGTGATCCCCTCCAAGCTTAGAGGTAAAGTCCAAACCGCAGCTAATGTTACATTGTGCCAGAGAAGGTTTGCTTATTAAGTCTGCTAAGAGAAGTGCGTCACCCACACTTTTGAACTGCTAATGATTACTGGACTTTTTTTTTTTTTTTGAGACCGAGTTTCGCTCTTGTTACTAGGCTGTAGTGTGATGGCGCGATCTCGGCTCACAGCAATCTCCGCCTCCTGGGTTCAGGCAATTCTCCTGCCTCAGCCTCCTGAGTAGCTGGGATTACAGGCACGTGCCACCATGCCCAGCTAATTTTTCGTATTTTTAGTAGAGACGGGGTTTCACCATGTTGACCAGGATAGTCTCAATCTCTTGACCTCGTGATCCACCCGCCTCGGCCTCCCAAAGTGATGGGATTACAGACATGAGCCACCGCGCCCGGCTGATTACTGGACTTTTTAAACTGCTTTTCAAGTGATAACATTCGTCTATTCCACCAAATTTAACACGAACTAAAATTCTAACGAATGTTAGTGTTAGGTGGATGCTGTTCATTTTAATAAAAATTTGACCTTTATAAGGAAAAAGAGAGAACAAATGAATGATGAAAGACAGAGTCCTTCTTGGGTAGCTGAGGGCAGATTCCGGAGAGGTTTTGCCATTCTCCTCATTCATCTCATGGCTGCCATCAGTACTCAGAACAAGCAGCCTCGTCCTTCCTTGCTTACCCTGTGCAAGATTCCAGCTCGTTCTGGTGGCCTTCCTTTTCTAAGTCAGCAGCTGACACGACACACGTCACAGGAAACCATACTTTCACAGGCACCTGCTTTTCTCAGCTCATTTCTCTTTGCAACAACTGCTTCAGCCATTTGCTGTCGTTTGGATCGCTTCATACACAATTATATGGATAAAAGAAAGAAATACAAAAACACGATAGAATGATCTTTGTCTTTGACAGACCAGAGAAAATAACAGACCTTTGTCCAAAATGTTCAGTGACGGACAGGCTGAGAGACAGACACACAGAGAAAGAACAAGGAAAAGAGATGGGGAATAAAAATATAGACATAACTGCAAATACCCCAAAACTAAAAAGAGCATACAAAAATACTATAAGCGACTTTGTCTGGAAATGTAGATGAAATAAAAATTCCTAGAAAAATACAACTTGCTACAAGTGACTCAGATGAAATAGGCAAACTGGAGAGTCTCATAAACTTTCATTCATTCAGTCATTCATCCATTCATTTATTTTGAGATGGAGTCTCGCTCTGTCGCTCAGGCTGGAGTGCAGTGGCTCGATCTCTGCTCAGTACAACCTCCACCTCCTAGATTCAAGCAATTCTCCTGCCTCAGCCCCTTGAGTAACTAGGATTATAGGTGTGCACCACCACGGCCAGCTAATTTTTTAATTTTTAGGAGAGACGGAGTTTCACCATCTTGGCAAGGCTGGTCTTGAATTCCTGACCTCAAGTGATCCGCCTACCTCGGCCTCCCAAAGTGTTGGGATTACTGGTGTGAACCACTGCACCAGCTTATAAACTTTCAATGAGTTGAATTGGTAGTTAAAATGTTCTCATAGAACAGGAGGAACCAGCCGGGCACGGTGGCTCACTCCTGTAATCCCAGCACTTTGGGAGGCTGAAGTGGGTGGATCATGAGGTCAAGAGATCGAGACCATCCTGGTCAACACGGTGAAACCCCGTCTCTACTAAAAATACAAAAATTAGCTGGGCATGGTGGTGGGTGCCTGTAGTCCCAGCTACTCGGGAGGCTGAGGCAGGAGAATTGCTTGAACCCAGGAGGCGGAGGTGAGCCGAGATCGTGCCATTGCACTCCAGGCTGGGTAACATAGTGAAACACCATCTAAAAAAAAACAAAAAACCAAAGAAACCCAGGAGGAACCTAATTCTATGGAAATTGATTTTCAGAATGATTTGCTCATGATCATTCTTAGCTTGATTGGAGAGATTCAGAATCTTTTAAGGGACAGTTTATCCATGTGACTAATGAAAAGCAGAACTTCGCTTTTTATTCGGAACTTCCTCACCCCTGTGCCCCCTTATTAACACTGACAGTTTCTTCACTGCACAAACTTCAAGATAATCTTAATTTCCTCACTTAAGCCCAACATCTACTTTGGTGACAAAACCAAAATATCGCGTTTTCTATCATTTCTCTCAAATCTACATTTTTCTCTCCATCTCTATCAAATTCTGCCTGGTCCACAGACACACAGTCCTCAGAATGCATTGCCGCTATTACTGTCTCCTTCCATCTACCCCCACACAAGTATATACATTATGACTCAAGTTGTCTCACAAGCAGGCCACATGAGCTAGGCTAATCTAGTAAAACAAATTATATAATCGTTTACCCACAAAGCTGGACCATTGGCTTTTCTTTTATTAAAATTCGAAGTCGGCTTGGGGCGGTGGCTGACACCTGTTACCCCAGCACTTTGGGAGGGCAAGGTGGGTGGATCACTTGAGGTCAAGAGTTCAAGACCAGCCTGGGCAACATGGTAAAATCCCATCTCTACTAAAAATACAAAAATTAGCCAGGTGTGGTGGGAGGTGCCTGTAGTCCGAGATACTCGGGAGGCTGAGGCAGGAGCATCACGTGAACTTGGGAGGCAGAGGTTGTAGTGAGCCGAGATCACACTATTGCACTCCAGCCTGGGTGACAAAGGGAGATTCCATCTCAATAAAGAAATAAATAAAATTCAAAGTCAGTTGTTTTTCCCCCCAAATAGTTAGTGACAGAGACTCCATCTCAATAAATAAATAAATAAAATTTAAAGTCACTTCTTTTCCCTAAATAGTTGTTGTCCCAAGGAACGAATGCAAATTGGTTCAGCTGAGCTGATGATTAAGAAACTACACAGAGGCAGAGGAAGTTCACTGTCATAGAATAATGTATTTTCTCATGAATTAACAGCCACGGATCAGAATGAAAGAAGAACTTCACACATCTTCAGAAAGAGTAGCTTCTTAAGGACTTAGAAAGACCTAGGTTTTAAGTATCATTATTTATCAAAACATGTCTAGATAATTGTTTCCAGATTAGCCATTTTCTTGATTTGTTTAGGATGAAATAGACAAAGCAAGTCATGAGGACTCTGAACATTTCTTCTTTTATAAAATTTTTCAGATGCTATATTACTTTGGATATTAAATTTAATTTAATTCCTGTTTCTTGTCTCTCAAAATAGAAATGAATCCCAGAATAAAACCACTAGTGTTCTATAAAATAAAATGTGGATTTGTAATTAATGTTATTTCACCACCCTTACTTAGTTTTGAGCAAGTTACAACTCTCAGTAATGGGAAAAAAATCATAAATTTTTTTCATTAAGAGAAGGCATCAAATAATATAATTTAAAATGCCTTAGAGAACACCACCATATCTATTTAAGATAAAGTGAAGAATGTTTGCTTTGCCTGTCAGAAGGGTCAGATATCATGGTAATTAGATCCACAGATCAACCAACAGATGTGAGTTTTTGCCCTATGTCCCCCAGCCTTATTGGCTGAATAACCTTTGCTAAGTTATTCCATTTC